CGTCACAGCTACCACTGGACGATGTGAGCATGCAGAAGTACATGGACGACTTCAATGAAGCAGCAGAGGAGATAGAAGCGCATTTCTCCTCAGAATTGGCCGTGCGTGAAGCTTTTCAGCTACACTTCACACCGTCGCTTGAGGATGGTCAAAGTCTCCTGGGAGACCCTCTGACGGTCATCAAAGACCACGTTGCCAAGATGCGAGAATGCACAGTTCCACCTGCTTCTTCTCTGCAGGCACGGCTGGACTTCGCGCAACACTTGCAGCTATTACGCAGCATTTGCCGCACAGTGGCTCTTCGCTTCAAGGATTTGGAATTGTTCAACACTTTGAATCAGAATTTAGGCGTGGAGAATCCTTTTCTTGTTTCTGGCAGCCGCGAGGATTATAGTGACAATGATAATCCTATAAACTTTCAAGAAGTGACAACACGTGACTGGACAGCTTCTGAGTTCTTGGAATTCTTCGGGCTGTCTGGGGGTGGTAAAAGACGAGTAAATGAATCCTTAGCTAGGAAACTCAAATTGTTGTTGGATATTGAGAAGAGACATAACGACACCAACTTGAACGCCCGATATCATTTCACGGCATTCCTCCAACCGTTTGAAGGAGACGGCGCTTTCAACTCCGCTCATGCCCCTGCCGAACACCAGATTCCATACACTGGAAACCAATTTCGTACTGGAGCTCTTGCAGAAGCAGCTGCGCATATATTCCGTGAATCCGATGCCAATACGAATTACGCATTCATACGAAAGCTGAATCGAATTGCGGATAATTGGACGAACGAAGCAGTGGCGGCAGCTGTGAAGCAGCAAGCGAAGGAAAATGCGGACAGTGTTCAAACCAGGCTGAAGACTAAAAGGGAGCTTATGCGAGGGCTGCTAAGCCAAGGCATACCAGTGGATGATTTGGTGATGACTGCATTGTTCCTTTTATAGTGTATGAGCTGATTTTTTTTGTGCGTTCTGCCAGATGACACTACTTTTCGGGCGGCAGGGGTCCGCATCCGTGGTGCCCGGCCTCGTTACAGTTGCTACTGTAGCTAGAAAGTCGATCGCAGTGTTACATTTAACTTGTTTTTTTTGTGGGAGGTTCGCCCAAAAGGAAGGGTGCACCCAACTATGAGTGAGGCAAGACTTCTTTTTGGCCTCATGACCAGCCAGATTGCAGAACGGGAACAAAACCCCGTTTCCGGGGAAGACGAACCCACCCCGGTTTCTGCATATCCCTTGTCAGCGAGAATCTGTTTGCGCTGCGGCGGACTGTAGTATGGATGATCCAGCGAATCCAGGTGCAGGAATAACAGCGTAGAACGCTCGATTACTGCGCACATTGTATTTGGAAACTAAATGTACAAAGATTTTATTCAATGTAGAGACATCCGTGGGTATTTGAGTTTTCTGTTGGTGCTAGAAAGGCGAGGCGGATAACAGACGGGAGCATCAGATATGTTAGGACCATGCTGCACAAAAAACATACCGCACCAATTGGTGAAGGAATTCAAAGGGTACCTAAACGCTAGTAGGTCCCCGAAACTTGAAGAAACTGCCTTCACTCGTGTACTTGCACTCCAAGCCGATCCGCCTAATCAATTTGCTGCATATCCCTCGGGGCGTTGCCCGATACGCATTCTCCACTGTGTGAATATATTATGGCCGGTAGGTGGCTAGAGCCGCCTCAAGTGAGGAAACCTCTGCAACCGGCTAACTGTGATGAATTTCAAGTAACACCCAAAATAACACGTCCAAAGTCTGCAGACGCATCACCCAAATACATAAAGCCTGTTTCTAAGACGGCCTGGAGTTCTGTTAACTAATAAAAAGGGACTGTGGATTCCTCCTCGCCCGCCTGCGTTCGCATTGTGTTGCCGCTACTACGGTCGATGCAACTCCCAAACGTGATAATCGCGGCTGAGGCCGCAGGCTCTAGCCACCATCAGACACTCATCTTCTGCATTTACTATATAGCATTTATTGTTTAGATGCGTTTTAGTCCTTTCTTTCTGCTTGTCAAGGCAGTTCGTTGGCGTCAATGCAGCGCATGTGACTGGAGCAGGTATGCTACCCTGAAGTTTGGCAGCTTGTGTGCAACGGTTACATGGAAATAATTCTTACGTCAAGTTATCCCCCATTCATTCGTTTCAACAGAACGTTCCTAACAACCTTCCATCTCCTTACCAACCAGAACGATCTCGGATCCTCTCCGTGTATCCCTGATCTTCTCTGTTTCCTGAGAGAAAGCGTTTCGCATTTTCTTAGAAATTTTGCGCACCACCCCAGTGGAGGGCGACTATATGCTTTGCGTCCCTTCATCCCTTTTCTGTATTAGGTAATGGGGAGTCAGCGGCGTGACCCAGGTACTTGGTTGCGGAAGGTGTTGAACCCGCAGGAAATGGAAGGCGCAGCAGTACAACTAAGCCCAGAGGACGCAAACAACAATGCGGAAGTCGCTAAGGAAGGAGGCGTTTTTCATTCGTGGAGGTTCCGTGGGAAATGGCATCAAGCAAATAAGGTGATGATTGTTGCTGTCGCAGTGATGCTGGCATCAGGGGCTCGTTACATTATGTCAAGAAAGGCACAATCCTACCTAAAGAGGTCAGAGCTACCTCTCGACGATGTGAGCGTGGAGAAGTACATGGAAGATTTGGACAAAGCGTTATGGGAAATGGAAAGTGCTTGGGAGAACGCAGAATTTAGTGTGCAGCAAGCTTTTCAAATACACTTCACACCGTCGCTTGAGGATGGCCAAGAGCTCCTGGAAGATCCGCTGGCGACCATCAAAGATCATGTGGACAAGATTCAGGAATGCGAAATTTCATCTGTTTCTTCTATGGAGGCTCGGAGGGGCTTCGCCCAACACCTGCAGCTGTTACTGAGCATTTGCCGCACAGTGACGCTTCGCTTAGATGAGCTGGAGAGCTACGTCAGTGCGAACAAGATATTTGACGTGCCTGTTCCTGTTCCTGACCACGGCGAGCCCTCTAGTGACCCTGCGCCTGAAGAACATCAAGGAATGGCAGAGCGTGACTGGACAGCTTCTGATTTCTTGGTTTCTTTTGGGCTGTTTGGTGGTGATAGCGAACGAACAGTAGATAAGCATTTATGTAATAAACTCGCATCGGCGTTGGAGATTGAGAAGAAGTTTAACGACTCCAATTCGAAAGCCCGACATTATTTCATTCCTAGCCTTGAACCCTTTGGAGGAGACGGCGCTCTCAACCCTGCCCATGCCCCTGCCGAACACCAGATTCCATACACTAAAAGACCATTTCGAACTGGAGCTCTCGCGCAAGCAGCTGCGCATATATTCCGTGAATCCGATGCCACTATGTATAACGCATACATACAAAAGCTGAGCCGAATTGCAAACAATTGGACGGACAAGGGGGTATTGTTGGCTGCAGAGCAGCAAGAGAAAGAAAATGCGAACAAGATCCAAAACCGGCTGAAGACTAAGAGGGAGCAAATGCGACTGCTGCTGAAGAAAGGAATACCGAAGGATGATCTGGTGATGAGTGCATTATTTCTTTTATAGCCTGTCAGATGCTTTTATTTGTGTGCACTGTGCCAAGTGACGCCACTTTCACTGCGCCATGAGTCCGCATCCGTCGTGTCCGATCCCGTTACAGCTGCTGCTGCACCTACGAACTTGGGGGCAGTCTTGTATTTAACCCGTTTATTTTGGGATGTTTGCCCAACAGAAGGCGCGCACGCAACAAGCACTGAAGCAAGCCTTCTCCATTTGGCCTCATGACAAATCGAAGCGCAGAGTGGAAATGAAACACTACTTCGGAGAAAAGCGAACGCATTACCTGTTGTGCGTATCCCTTCTCCGAATGTGCTCATTCGCGCTGCGCCCTAGTGTGTTCCGGATGATCAGTGGAATGCAAGTCCAGACAAAACTATGTATAATGCTGGCCATTCGCAGTTTGAACAAGATTCGCATACCTTGTTGCTACTTACAGAATATGGGAGTCCATCCGTGTGCGCATTCCTTTTTAGAGCTATATACCTGGAGCGATGAACAATCAGGAACATTTGCTACGTTACGGCAATGCTGCCCAAAAAGCACACCGAATGACCTGGTGAAGATATTCTGAGGATAAACAAAAGCCACAGTATCCCCGGAATTTCGAGAAACCACCTTTGAACCGTATATTTTTATTGAAGGTCCCTCCTTTCAACTAATTTGTGGCAACTAAGAAAGGTCCTTCGCCAGCCCGCACTCTCGACTGTGTGCGAATTTCATGGGGGGCGGGGGGCTAAGTAGCTTGGCAACGAAGTAAGCCTCAGATAACGGCTAACTTCAGTGGACTTCAAACAACACACCAAACAGGCAAGCCTAAGATATGCAGTGACAACACGGAAATAGCCAAAACATCTGTCTAAAACAGGCAGGATATCTCTACAATATCAAAAAGGGACTCGGGGTTGCTCTTCGCACTGTTGCTTTGACAGAGGCCCTCTCCCGGTTGCAGGATCGATGCTAGTACGAAAAAAAGGCCCCGCAGCTGAGCCCCCAGGCACTATCCACCATCGGACACTCATCCTTCCACCTTCACAATTGTATTTGTACTTCAAGCCGATCCATTCAATGATTTCGCG